AAAAAAAAAAAAAAAAAAAGAAATATCTGATAATATTCCCATCTCTGTTTGTTTATAAAAAGACACTAAAGAACATGTGTTTGTTAATTGATCATGGATAGTTTTGTCTTGCTAAAATATTTCCTTCAATGTATAAGACAAAGCACTAAATTACTGGGAATTTCAATAGGACTTTTCAAATCCTCTTAATTAGTGGCCTACAGATTCTATAATATCCTATGGAGCTTTAGCAATCATCTCAATTTTAACTTAAAAATGTTTTGCATAGTTGGATGCAATGGCTCACACCTGTAATCCTGGCACTGTGGGAGGCTGAGGCAGGTGGAATGCCTGAGCTCAGGAGTTTAAGACCAGCCTGAGCTAAAGTGAGACCCTGTCTCTAAAAATAGCCAGGCATTGTGGCTGTGTCTGTAGTCCCAGCTACTTAGGAGGCTGAGGCAAGAAAAAAGAAATTTGTCTCCTAATTTTAATTTTGAATGATTTTTTTTCCTTCAGATATTTCTAATATATTTAATCATGGGGTAGACTATCTTCAGGCCCCTAGCAACTCTAATTTGGGATCTTTAGAGTTGTTTTTTTTTTTTCCCATGTCTCTACTGTTTATACGATTAGAGAATCTTAGAGGATTGAAATTAATAAATGGACAAACACTGCCTAGCGATCAGAGGCACTGTGTATCCGGAAAATAAGCCCTAGCAGGATTTTTATGCATTTGTTAAATATAAGCCCTACGCCAGTAATACCCGGCATATCTGCATAGCCACGCCCTGCATTTCGGAGCTGAGCAGTAAGGAAGACTGGAATGCCACAGCTCCTTTCTCCCAGCCATTGGCGCTTGTGTGGTAACCGCAGGCATCCTATTGCCCACGTGCAAACCGCTAGGGGTTAAGGAGTTCATGCATCACTAGCGCCAGCCCCACCAACAAGGTTGGCTCCCCCTGTCAGGTTCCAGAAGAAGATGACCTGACTGTATTTGAATAAATGTAGATTGTTGTATTATGCTTAATAAAAATAAGATATCCCCTGAAAATAAGCCCTAGTGTGTCTTCTTGAAAAAAAAAATATATATATAAGACAGTGTCTTATTTGGGGGGAAACATGGTAGCTCTGTAAAACATGAGATACATACACCTAAAAAAGATTTTCAATTCAAAAACCAGCCACAACTAGCAATATAACAAATGGCAAATAATGTAAAGAGATATTTGAGGTGAGATGATTTATGGTTTTTTATTGATTCATTCAACAGGTATTTATTAAACCCAAACTATTTGCCTAGTAGTGGAGAACCAGAAGTAAATATAAGGCCATGACCTCCCTGGAAGAGTTCATTGACTGGTAGGGAGCTGAAATAACAGCAGTATACCAGGAATGCTTTTTATCATCAAGTTTTAAAGCTCATTTTGCTTTGTATCTACCTACCTGGTCCTTCATATCTCTCCTACCCGTTCTTTTTTTTTTTTTCACCCCAGTTAGAAATAACTTTGTGTCTCGCATAACTTTTGGGAAGCCTTATCTTGTGTGTAGTTTCAAAAGTTCTTGACAAGAACTTTAAGGAGACAAATTTCTTTTTTTCTTTCTTAGGAGACAAAGTTTTACTTTGAGTGCTGTGGCATCATAGCTCACAGCAACCTCAAACTCTTGGGCTCAAGCAGTCCTTAATAGATTGTTGAACAGTAGCTCTGAGTCCAAATTTCACTTTTAAGAGTTTAGGGATCTCCTATGTTGATTTACCAATTCAAATGCTAATAGCAAGTCTGTGTATTCTAATGGAATACAGAAACCCCAGAAGAGGGTTTCCTCTCTCTTCCACTTTAGAAAGAATCATTTTATTGTTACGTTTTTAGTTTTCTTTCTTTAAGAGACAGGTTTCAACTCTGTTGCCCAGGCTGGATGTGCAGTGGCCTAATTGTAGCTCACTCCTGGGCTCAAGTGATCCTCCCACTTTAGCTTCCCAAGTTAGACTTATGTTGTCTATGAATTGTGTAGTCCCAAGTAGCTAAGACTATAGATGAGCATCACTACAACTGAATAATTATTTTTTATTTATTTATTTATTTAGAGATGGGGTCTCACTATGCTGCCCAGGCTGGTCTTGAACTCTTGGCTTGAAACAGCTCTCCTGCCTTAGCCTCCCAAAATGCTGGGGCTGAAGACAAGAAGCCACTATGTCTGGCCTCCCTGTTTTTGCATTTTTAAAAAAAGTATTTCAAACAACTTAAGCCTAAGGTCTAAGGAAGTCAGGCCACTGAGCATGGCATCTGTTGTTAAATTCTGACAAGTTAAAAAAATTAAGATTGAAGACTTACAGGTGTTTAAAGAATGAATCATGTTTTGTAAAAACTCTTGAATTGTAAAATTCAGTTAACATTTCAGGTGTCCAGGAATTTATCAACTCCTCCTCCTGCCATGGCCCCGCTCCTCTGGGAAATAGGAGAGAACCGTGTGTTAGAGCCCAAGGGTGCCCACAGTGGACAATGTCAAGAGTAGCTGGGGCTGACACCAGAGTTTCCAGGCATACTTCTTCTTCTGTTCTTCCTCCTCCTCATCCTTTTCCTCCTTTCCTTCCCAAATAGAGAGTGAGAACCCTATTTGTAAAGATATCAAGGGTAGTGACAGTGCTCCCAGAACCTGATGCCCTTTGCATACCTCTCATTGGCTGCCATTCTGTCCTTTCTAGCTAAGACTTTTGAGGAAACATTGACATCTAAATTAGGAGCTGAAGAAACATTAATTCTCTATACTTTCTCTCTATTAGGATTTATTGACCTTAGTAGAAATGTTATCATCCTTATCTTCTTTTTATCTTTTATGATTAGAATTATTACTGTCATTGGTGTCCACCTATTGTATATGCTTTGATCCAGTTCAGTCAAGCTCTAGGAATTAGTTGTTTGTTAGCACCAGCTTTTGACAATGAAGGTATACATGTGCTATTTTTCAGTCAGTGAAGATTCTCATTCTGCTGTTGTGATTAATATAAGCCTAATGTGCTTTTTAAAGTTATGTGCTTTGACCTCAGCAGAGTTTTTCTCTTAAGACATGCTCTCCCGGCTCGGCGCCTATAGCTCAACCGGCTAAGGCGCCAGCCACGTACACCTAAGGTGGCGGGTTCGAATCCCCAGCCCGGACCCGCCAAAACAACAATGATGGCTGCAACCAAAAGAATAGCCGGGCGTTGTGGCGGGCGCCTGTGGTCCCAGCTACTTGGGAGGCGGAGGCAGGAGACTCACTTGAGCCCAGGAGTTGGAGGTTGCTGTGAGCTGTAATGCCACGGCACTCTACCCAGGGGGACAGCTTGAGGCTCTGTCTCAAAAAAAAAAAAAAAAAAGACATGCTCTCCCCTCTCACATATT